CTATTCCCGGAAAGGTGGTCACCTACAACTTACTACTTAAAACTGCTAAAGTGGTCCGCGAGTTGCCTGGTGAAATAGGTGATACTTTACGTTTTAATCATGTTTGTGCTTATCAGTATGCTGAAAGTTTGATTCCGGTTAAAGATTGGACTACTCGTCCAAAATAATGCTCTTATCAGCAGCTTCCGAGTACTTCTCTTTCCTCTTTTTGTGTTTCTTCTGGGAAAAGGTTATCTCTTAGGTACTTCATGCGAAGACTTCTTCAAAGATGCTTGAAATATGAGTTCAATGTTTTTGTCTGCACAAAAAGGTTTCGTGTTCAACTGTTTGGTTATTTAGTTGCACTAAGTTAGGCTGTTTACATCACAACCTTTAGGATGCGGTCGCTCCCTGGACTCTGTGTGAGTACGGAATGCCTTGTGTACATGGCTGTCTTTATTTTTTTAGTAACAAGAAGGTACTGGAAAAAGTACAATAGTGTATCTACAATGTTTAGTCTCATAGAATCCAAAAAATCAACAAGATCCATAAAAAGCTAGCTACTTCTGCTGATTGGCTCCCAAGTTATGTTAACAGTGGAGGAGCAAGAAATTTATACAAGGAAATTAATGAAAAATACTAGATTTTTACACTTAAATTTGAACCTGTAACCTAAAGTAAATTTTAAACTCCCTTTGCGACTTCACTAGAATTTTCTCTTATGTTACGAGGATTCAACAATATACAACAACCTAGTATAATCTCACAAGTGGGGTTTGGGGAAGATAGGATGTGCGTAGCCTTACCTCCACCCTGGAAGGGTAGAGAGACTGTTTTCAATAGACTCTCGGCTAAAGAAGGTGAAAAAAGCCCTGATAGCAAGTAATAGCAAGATAATATAATTAGAAAACTAAATCGAAGATAGCAACAGAGAATATGAAAGAGGTATCGATCGCAAGTAATAGCAAGACAATATATTTAGAAAACTAAATCCAAGGTACCAAACGAGAATATGAACGAAGTACTGCTAGCAAACTACGGAAACACCAACAGAACATGAAATGGGATAATAGCAAACTAAGGATAAAAGGGTACCGTACTAACACTAATACTAACGAATCAGGGAAGACAAAGGGAAACACACAATTACCTACTAACCTTCTACCCTAATCTTCAACCTCCACCCCCTTTTATCCGGGATCATGTCCTCAGATGCATTACTCCTATGTAATTTTTCAACCCTTTCTTCCACCTTAGCTCCACCAAAGGTTATGTGGGCAGTTAATAGAAAGAAAAGGAAAGGGTAGGGAACTTTTACACAAAATCACCTAAATAAGGAGTTTGTGCATATAAGTTGTCTTTTTTCCTTTGGGACTGAGAGAGTCATTATTATCATGAAATAGAGTTTGTAGAAAGGAGCTTTTAATCAGAATTTTCCACTTCTTCTGCAGTTCTGCTGACTGGCCTTGCCTAGTAATTTTGAATTTATTGCTTTTTCTAGCATGTTCGGCCGATCTTCTAAAATCAGCTTATTTTGAGAAATATTTTTTCTCAAAAGTATTTTTAGTGAGAAGTAGTTTGTGTTTGACTAATTAATTTAAAAAATACTTCTGAGCAACAATTAATATTTGTCCAACCTTTTAAAAAGTATTTCTAAATGTATTTTTCTCAAAAATACTTTTGTGAAAACGCTATATTTTCTTGCTTCTTCAAAACTGCTTTGCTTTTCCTCAAAACACTTTTTTTTCTTCCAAAAACTTGGCCAAACACTTAAACTTTAAAAAAATAATACTTTTTTTGAAAAAAAAAGTGCTTCTAAATTTGGAAAAGTTTGGCGAACAGGCTATTCGTGCCACTTCCCAGATATATGATGCATCTCATTTGGGAAAATAAATAGATGAATTGGAGGGAATTGTTCTAGTTAAAGATATACTTTACATCTGCTTGTCCTTGATGTTCAAAGAAGTTGCTTAAGATGAGAGAGCTTTATACAAAATTTTAATACAAGTACTCTCCTCCATCGTCAGTCTAGGATTCACATACAACAGAATAAGGAAGTAGTTTTAAACTCGAACAAACCGGATAGATACAAGTAGGGGTGATAAACGGGCGGATCAAATATGGGTAATTCAAAAATGAATAAAACATATGATCCGTCCTTATTTAATATGGATAGAAAATTGATTAATTGGATGATAATGTGGATACTCATATTATCCATGACTTCTTGAATGTGATCACTTTTGGGAGAATTTCTAGTCTTTCAAATTTAAAAAATCCCCAATTTAAATCTTTGCAGATATAAAAGTTAAATTCATTGGTTATCCTAGGGGTGTACATAGGTCGGGTTGGTTCGGATTTTCTAATTACCAAACCAAACCAATTGTGTCAGGTTATTAAATTTAAAGACCAAATCAAACCAATAAAAATCGGATTTTTTAATCTCGATTTTTTCGATTTTTTTTTCATATAGTTTTCATAGCACAAAACATAGAATTTGTGCTCTAACTATTTCTTTAATCCTAGTAAGACATAATTATATGAGGTGTTTTCAAGAAACTAATATAAAATATGAGATAAATCATGGCATGGTACTAAAAATTCAACAATAAAGACAATAAAATCGCACAAAACAAATATTATTAATAAGCCATAATGAAAATAAACATAATCTTAAATTACTAAGTTGCTAAAATAAGTACGACTAATAAGTACTATTATTTACATGACTAAACACTAAAATAAATAAGTTTTGTATTTTATCTAAACCATGGAAAAACTAAATAAATAGATATGTCATTCCTAGCAATTGAATTGAATGTTTAACATTAATATTGATTTGATTTTGGTTTGGAATTTGTTTGAGTTACTAACATTTATAGACTATAAAATTTATTGGAGCATTCAAAAATTATAAATTCAAGTTTGAAATAATACGTTAAAAGATAAAATTATGAAAAACTTTAAGAAATATTGACAAACTACACTAGAATAATTATTTTTATGCATTAAATATATTTAAAACTTCCATAAATGTAATGTTGGGTTGGTTTGGTTTCGGTTTGACTTTTTTTAGTTAAAACCAAACCAAACCAATTATGGTCGGGTTTTTTTTTTCCAACACCAAACTATAATCGGATTTTTTTTCTCGGTTTGACTCGGATAATCGGTTTGGTGTGATTTTTCGGTTTTCTTTGTACACCTCTAGGTTATCCATTAAGTATCCATTGTAAATGAATAATATGAATCTTATCTGTATTTGATCAATTTTGAAAACGTTCATTATTCAATCTATTTTTTAATGAATAATATAGATAAATAATTATTATTATTTTATCTATTTTGACGCCACTAGTACAAACTTGACAAAAAATTAGCAGATATGATAAGCTATTCTACACTGAAAAATCTGTAGCTCAAACGGTCATCACCTATAATCCCAATAAACTGGACGAACCTGAACAAGCCAAATGCAAGAATGACGTTACTACTAGGTTAATGGGAAACTTTGCAGCACTTGATTGTGGGCGGTAGGGTGCTGGTGGTTCGGTTTGGGTCGATTTTTTCCTAAAAAAATCAAATCAAGTAAGTCGGTCTTTTTAAATATTGAAATCAAATCAAACCAAACCAATTAAGTTGGTTTTTTAGCAATTCGGTTTATGTCGCTTATTTATCGGTTTTTCGGTTATTTATCAGTTTTTTCTAAAATATGAGACATACACTATCAAATACATATTTCAGTGACTACATTTTCAACGTAAACTATCAAATCAACTGTTCTTTGAAAAATTTATCATTTACCATGATATATTGATAGTAATCGAATCAAATAGTGATGAATAATAATTTAAGAACTCAATTAAAAATAAATTACTTTTAACATGAAATAGATTCTTGTACTTGTAAAGGCAAATAATTGGATTATTATAATAGCAAAAAATTAGACTAAAAGTACAAACGATTAACATGTACCATACAATTTTAGAAACTTTCTATATAAAAATACACATATATAGGAGTAATAATAAATTTTAAATAGCTACTTTTATAGTCAGTTTCGTTTAATTTTTTCGGTTATTTTTTTATTAAAACCAAAACAAACAAAATTTGATTGGGTTTTAAAAATTCAAAACCAAAACTAAGTCAAACAATAAAAGTTTCAATTTTTTTTCGATCGATTTGATTTGGTTTCCGGTTTGATTCGAATTTTTATGAACACTCCTGCTGAGCGGGGTTCTACTTAAGCAACGAATCAGGCAAAATGACTCCAGATTACGGCAATATTGCAATACAAGTCATAACATTCGTAAACACAAAAAATGACACTTTTTTACTTTTAAAACTAACAATTTAATTTTAAAATGTTCATTCTGTCCATAATGAGATTTTATGTAGCCATACATATCTCTGTCTTACTTTCACCACAAGCTATAATTTTTTTTAAAAATTTTTTCTTAAATTTCATACTCAGTCAAACACCATCACATAATTTGAGATGTAAGGAATATCAGGCTATTTAATATTTTTAGGTTATTTATTACTGCTATTACATGCAATTAGTAAGTATCTTTAAAGTGATATAATTGTGCATATTTTTTTACACTATCATAACATTAAACTTAAGCTCTATAAAGTAATTCAATTTCAAGTAAACACACATATATAATAGTTAATGAAGTTTATAAAATAATGATTTGCAATAATTAAAATAACATATCACTATATAACAGTGTTTTTAAAAAAATATATATAAAAATTGGTATGACTTACACGAAAAATGCAACTTATTGTTCATTTATCAAGTGTAGGACAAGAATTTTTGAAAAGAAAAGTGTACAAGTTATGCATTATTTATTTATTCTATATAAAAAGAAGTGGCCATCAATAATAAAAATATGTATTTATCATGACCGCGAAGAGTGAAAATTTTCGCGCCTTTTTCATAAAACTCAAATCAAGAAATTTTAATTGAGAGTAAACATAAATCCCTAGATTATTTTCACGACCCCATTTTCCCACTTCGCCGTTGGTTTCCCTTTTATTCGGTAAAAGAAGCCCCAATTCTTGTTGTTATCAATGGATTGAATTTGTTATTTTCTTTTTGGAGAATCCTTGCTGCATTTTGCTGGCCTTTTTTCTGCTTTTCTCCAACGGTAAGCCTAGTTTGTCTATTTATTCAATTCCTTTCCTTTTCCGTTTATTATAACTGGGTTTATCTAACTTTCCTCTTCATTTTATTCATCAATGGATAAATGTGTAATGAAAAAAGATGTCTTTTTTTTAAAAGAAAAAATAGTCTTTTTATTATTTGCTAGAAAGGGTGTGTGCTAAATACCTTTTATGTGTGTATTCAAAGGGTAGGAGTAGTGCTAAATCTTTCTGGGTTTATCCAATTTTCCCTTATTTGTTTCATCAAAGGCACCAACAAGGATGTCTTTTGATATAAAAAATGGTCTTTTATAGTATTTGAAATAAAGGGTGTAGTTGATATGATTTTCCATGAATTAATATATTCCTTGATTTGCTTATTTAAATGGAGTAATGTAGTCAATGAAGATGTACAAGGCCAGCCGAAATTGTTTGGAACAGAAGCCTAGTTGTTGTTGTTGTTTAAGTACTAAAACAGGTGACATGTGATAATTGTATAAGGCATGATAGACTACTGATAATAGGGTCTTTATGACTTTTTAATTAATTTTAAAGATTAAGAATGTTGTGGAAATGTTGGTTAAAGCAAGAGATGTTGGGATAGTTGTAAATAAAAATGACTTTTGCCTATAAGTAACTCATAAATGAGTTAGGCCATATTTCTCCTTTTTGTGGAAGAAGAAAATGATTTCAAGAATTCAAGGTAAACAAACAATATCAGACACATCTATCCAGAATGTGTGAATGCTAGCATCTGACAAATATGCTACTATTATTTTGATAAAATTGTATTGCAATATTTCAGTCCAGCTCTAATCTTTAGTCATTGCTTGTTGATTCTTTGCTTGAAGTGAATTCTTAGATTGCTATTACTACTTGTTGTTTTCTTATTATCTTTCGCTTCGGTTTTTATCTTGTTGTTCTTACTGGTTATTGCCACTGCTTCTTTTCATCTTTTCTTGAGCCGAAAGTCTATCATGAACAACCTCTCTACCTTCCTGGTATAGGGGTAAGGTTTACGTACGCACTAACCTCACTTGTAGGATTTTACTGGGTTTGTTGGTATTGTCTTTGCTTGAAGTGGANGCATTTGGCTTGTTCAGGTTTGTCCTACTTATTGATATTATAGGTGACGATCGTTTGAGCTACAACTTTAGGCTGCAAGTAAATTTTAAATTCAAGTCTTATTCAGTCTAGAATAGCTTATCTTATTTGCTAATTATTTGTCATGCTTATATCTATCAGGTCTGTTCGAGTTTGAAAACTGATTCATTGTTTTATTCCTAGACTGACAATGGCGGAGAGCCACATAGATAAAAGACTTGCTGTTATTGTAGCGGTGGATGTCATTGCTAGAAATGCTGATCTTTTATCTGAAATTCTACTCCGTTTGCCTGCACTATCTCTCATCAGGTTCAGTCTAGTATGCAAACTTTGGTGCTCAATCATTACCAGTTTGCAATTTAGGCTCAGTCATTGTCGTACTCTTGCATTTTCTAATGCTCTAACCCCGTCTGGGATCTACTTTTACGATTGCCTAACCAATCTCCAGAAAGTCGAATCCCTTCCTCTTTCTGATAATGTAACTAGCCTCCCTCCTCTTCCGCTCCTTGACCCAATGGCTTTAAAAAAAGGAGATGCAATTGAGGTTATGCAAGTCAAGGTTATGCAATCTTGCAATGGCCTGTTAATGTGCGTGATGAAAACTAAAGCAAGGAATATCAAACTTGGTATTGTTTACAATCCTGCAAATAAAGAGTGGTGTCCATTGCCGAGCCCCTATGACAAGTATTATGGTAATGTCTATTATAACCTGATATTTGATCCTTCAGAACCACCTTATTACAAAGCTTTGTGTATTAAGCGTTTGGGTTCCTATTGGTCGGATGTCGAAGTGAGTGTGTATGTGCCAGGGAGCGAGTCATGGAGATTGTGTTGTCGTTTCTCTCCACCCTATGATATGCGCTTTGACAGTGGAGTGTTTTGGAATGGTGCAATTCATTGGATTGGTGAAAACTCCTCCATTTACTTTGATGCTAATTCAGAGGAAGTTGTAAGGAAAGATATGCCACCAAGGCCTCAGGGACAATGTAGAGAAAAGATTAGGTATTTTGGGGAATGGGGTGGCCATTTGCATCTTATTCAGGTTCAGAGCCTATATGCCAAGAAATTCAATGTACTCGAATTAGACAAAAATACCTGGAAGTGGTCAGTGAAGTATCGTGTTCATCTTGCTCGGTTAATTTCAGCATTTCCTGAGATGGTTCAGCAGACATCATCTGGCACACAGTATGCTTTTTCCATTTTGTCAGTGATTCGAGGAGAGAAAGAAGAAGATTCAGTCCTACTGCTTACTATTCCGGGGAAGGTGATCGCCTACAACTTAGTGCTTAAAACTGCTGAAGTAGTCCGCGAGTTGCCTGGTGAAATAGGTGATGCTTTACGCTTTAATCATGTTTGTGCTTATCAGTATACTGAAAGTTTGGCTCCTGTTCCAGCTCTCAAAGATTTGTCTTAGCTCTTTTGAATTTCTTCTGTAAAGAAGTTATCTTGCAGGTATTTCATGTGAAAACTTCTTCAGAAATGCTAGAAAACTAAATGTCAAATCTTAGCTTTCGTAGTTGCTTTTGGGAATTCAGTATAAATGTTATAGGACCTTTACTGAAAAATGCGTTCAATGTTTTATCTGCACAAAATGATTGTGCTCAACTCTTTAGTTATTTAGTTTTATTTATGTTAGTCGCGCCAATATTGCTGTATTTATAAATAATAATTCTGGGAAATATAAGTTATCGTAATGAAACAGTAATTAATTCGAGCCCACTGAATTCATAGTGTTTCCTTAAGGAATTTAATCCTCTCCTAGTACCCAAGGTTATGGATTATTTCCTCCCAGGATAGAACGAATCACACACTGGTGTAGCAGTACTTCAAACCCCAGTGTTTCAGCAAACACAAAGTTCGGTAGCAAAGGAGTAGAAATTCAGAAAATCGTATGGAAATGCTGGGAGGAAGGAGTGCAATGTATAGCCAAAGTTGAGCGTTTTCAGTTTTTGTGTCTTTCTTCAATAGCTGCTGCACATATTTATAGCAGTCAGCTTTGAAGATGAACGACCCTCCACCCTCCATGGTGGAGCATGCACTAGCTTGTTTGTGGAGCAAGCACTTGGCCATAGTGGGAAGAGCATTAGGCGGCTGCTAGTCGTCCAAAAAATTAATCAATCAAATCCGAAGCCGAAGCCGAGCGAGCGACGACGACGGCGCGAGGCTTGCTTTCTTCTTAACTCTTTAAGAGCTACAAGAAGAGCAATTATATATATACCCACCAAGAATCTTTTCCTCTTCCAATATGGGACAATGTCTCATTGTCAAGAGAGGGAAACTTAAAATTTTACTCAAAAATTTTATTTTTCCCTCCATTTCCCATTCACCCTCATATTAAGACTATTTCATCTTAAATAACAAAAACCTTAATAATTTACACTTTCACTTTATCATTCAGTAATTTCATTTATGTGGTTGATGAATAGTAGGTATTAGTTGTTGGAATCACTCTCTCGTGTTTACGTCAAACCAACTATTTAACTTTAGGATTCATTACAGTGAGATATATCAACCTCTCTACTCTCAAGTCTCAACGTAGGGCTAAGGTTTCCATACACACTATCCTCCCTAGACCTCACTCGTGGGATTATACTGATTTTGTTGTTGTACAGTGACATATATATCACTTTACCATAGTTTTGGTGACATATATATACAGGGCGAAGTTAGAAGTTTATACAACGGAATTCGAAAAAATAGGATTTGAACTTGTGACCTTATAATGTCTTCCCTCGTTTCCATTTGTTGTTTGAAGAGGCAAAATGGTTATTTTCCTTTATTTTTGTCAAATATGTGTCTGTAGCTCTAAAAGGTAAAGTTAAACTTAAATAATTATCTCTGCCCGCTAGTTATGTGCCTATGTTGCGTCTATATGCTTAAATAATCCAAGAATTAATTAGGCAGTTCTATTTTTAATAATATGACAAGAAGTATTAGGTTTTCAGATACATTGAACTTTGTTATTCATGATATGTTATTGGTCACCAAAATTTCAAACTCCAAATCTGCTGGAAAAAAAACAAAAGGATACTAAAAACCTCTATAGTTTCAGAGCAAACTAGTGCAACCCTGATTGTACTTTAGGCATCTAGTATCCGAATTCATATTAGGTAAGCTGAATAAAGGAGATAAAACTCTTCCTACCAAGAGATTCTCCATTCCTTAGCTTGTCGAGTGCATTCTTCAATCAATATATTTAATCTAGGTTTTAGCTTTTGTAATTTTTATGCAAGCATAATTAGGAATCAATCGAAGCTCTTACGCTTTTGATGAAGCAAAATATAATTCGACAACAAATTATTCTTGTAGTCTGCAGCAAAAACCCTTTAGCTTTTGAATTTTTTTACTCAACCTTTAAATGGAAAAGTATCAACTTCTAAACCAACTTCGTGCTCGTTCTTTTTTCATCTTTTCTCTTCTGTTTTAGATCTACTCACGGTAGATGTATACGGTCAAAATCGAACTTGCTCTTTGTATGACTAATCGAGACTGGAACATGATAGACCAAGGTTCAACCTCGTGTGATATCGAGCGATGATGCGAAGTTAGATTGCGGGGCTCGTGACCCAGAGACCGATCAAGATTGAGATCGGCCAAGATCGAGATCGAGCAAAATAGAGATCGATCAAGATCGAGATCGAGCAAAACAGAGACCGATCAAGATCAAGATCGGCCAAGATCAAGGAAAGCTTATCGAGCCAAAAAACAGAAAGCCGGAATATCCGCAATTGGGCGAGAATCTCGGCGGAAATCCCGCGCATATCAAGGAGAGGGCAATTAATTAATCTATCATGGGATTCCTTACTATATTTAGAATTACATTGAGATAGGACTTCCCTACTATATAATGGGGGTCTGATCATTTGTAGAGGAGGAATATATACATTCATGCAATATAAAGCAATTTACTGCCTTCTGGTTTTCAATATTTTGTCATTTTGTTCTTGTGTCAGTTTATTCTCCACTTGGTTTGATGGTGATCAAACTCGAGGGCCAAGGCTAATTGATTCATTCGGTTTGCATTTATTTCGTTTACAGTTAATTTTATATATANTTATCCATTTTTCGGGTAAACAGTTTGGCGCCCACCGTGGGGCCAAGGATAATAGTGATTATTTGATACAAATATCTATAAAACACACAATTTTACACTTGCTATTTGAAGTATCTTTGATTTCATACTAAAAATGACGAACTCTCAATTAATGTCCCTGCATATCGACAACGGATCTCACCATCAAGGTAAGAATAACAACGTGACTCCCGGTGATGTAAGGCCACCCGCTGACCCCGTTGGGACACGGGTCGCGGATCCGATTGACGTTAATTCACATATGGCCATCGACGCGGACCAGCATACTGGTCCCGAAAACAACGTCCATGGTGGAACCCGATCTGCAACTCGAAATACATAAAATATCGGAGAAGACGGGATCAGCCTACGTATGATCTTCGAAATGCCGCAAGCTCAACATGTGGCAATAGCTTAGTTGTAGAGCCAAACCTAGCACCGAGCAAGGCTGAGCCCGATCCACCTCAAGAAGTCATCCACAAAACGGGGCCAGCCGTGGTGAGGTTAAATGAACAAGAATCGGGAACTAACCCCGAAATTATAAAAATGCTCGAGGAACTGATAAAGCGGATAGAGTCAGGGGAAAAGAAGATCGAAGCAAACGACAAGAAGGTGGAAACTTATAACTCCAGGGTTGATCAGATCCCAGAAGCACCAACAATATTCAAGGGTTTGGATTCCAAAAAGTTCGTACAAAAGCCCTTCCCCCCGAGCGCAATTCCCAAATCGATCCCCAAGAAGTTCCGCATGCCCGAGATTCCTAAGTATAATGGAACTACCGACCCCAACGAGCTCGTCACCTCTTACACGTGTGCCATTAAAGGGAATGATCTAGAGGACGACAAGATCGAATCCGTGTTACTAAAGAAATTCGGGGAAACCCTGTCAAAGGGAGCAATGATATGGTACCATAATTTACTAACTCTATCGATTATTTTGCCATGCTTGTAGATTCTTTCGTAAAAGCACACACCGGAGCCATAAAGGTCGAAACTAAGAAGTCAGATCTTTTCAAGGTAAATCAGAAAGATAACGAGATGCTGAGAGAGTTTGTGTCTCGTTTTCAAATGGAACGAATGGATCTACCACTTGTCACCGATGATTGGGCCGTTCAAGCTTTCACCCAAGGACTAAATGAACGAAGCTCAGTATCTTTACAACAGTTGAAGCAGAACTTGATTGAGTACCCGATTGTTATCCGGGCTGATATACATAATCGATATCAGTCGAAGATTAGAATCGAAGACGACCAGCTGGGGGCTCCTTCCGGATTTATTACCAAAAGGGACGTCGATCGAGAACCAAGGTTGAACACGGATCGGTACCAGATGTATAATAGAGATCGTAGGGGCAACTGACCTGGGCACAACTCCGTACGAGGTGAAAGGAGAAATGATCGAGGCCAGAGCTCTCGAGGGCTCATAAGCAAGAATGGTTTCGACAGGCATACCAGACCTAAGGAAGCACCGCGATTGTCGGAATATAACTTTAATGTTGATGCATCCGCCATCGTATCGGCTATCGGATGCATCAAGGAAACTAAATGGCCTCAACCTCTGCAGACCGATCCAGCCCAGAGAAATCCCAATCAAGTATGCAAGTATCATGGCACCCATGGCTACAGAACGGAAGATTGCAGGCAGTTGAGAGAAGAAGTAGCATGGTTATTCAATGAAGGGCACCTTCGGGAGTTTCTAAGTGATCGGGCCAAGAATCATTTAAAAAACAGAGAGTTCAATAGAAAAAACAAGCAAGAAGAACCGCAACACATTATTCACATGATTGTCATAGGGATCGATGTTCCTCAAGGGCCAGTGTTAAAATGCACTAAGGTGTCGATCATAAGGGAGAAGCGATCTCGGGCTCAAGATTACATACCAAAAGGAACCTTGTCCTTCAATGACGAAGACGCGGAAGGAATCATGCAACCCAATAATGGTGCGCTAGTAATATCTGTACTCATGAATAAGATTCAAGTTAAACGTGTGTTAATTGATCTAGGTAGTTCGGCCAATATCATTCGATCGAGGGTCGTAGGACAACTCGGCCTATATGACCGGGTTGTGCCCGCGGCCCTAGTGCTAAATGGATTCAACATAGCATGTGAAACTACTAAGGGCGAGATAGCTTTGCCAGTAAACGTGGCCGGGACCATCCAAGAGACGAAGTTCCATGTGATCGAGGGCTACATGAGGTATAATGCCCTATTCGGGAGACCATGGATCCACAATATGAGAGCAGTGCCCTCGACCCTTCACCAAGTTCTAATATTCCCAACACCAGAGGGAATCAAAACAATCTACGGGGAGCAACCCGCTGCAAAGAAAATGTTTTTCGTTGAAGAAGTGATTCCGATATCGTCACTCTCATCGACAGAGGGGTCAAATTCGAAGGGAAAACATGAGACCAAATAGCAATCACATATGCCGGCCTCGACCCAACTAGAGAAACATGGGACTGACGAAGATGATGATTATGGGCTCCCTCAATCCTTCATAGTCCCCGATGACTCCGACGCT